CTTCCATCCTTTAGCAATGCACTTTCACCCGTGGGAATCCACTCGTGCTGCTTCTGGATTTCACATGTTTCTTGGGAACCAGGCCAAAGGGGAGTGACTTTGTGAGTCCCAAACAAACCTGAGGTCTTCTGTGAGGGGCCTGGAAATTTGGCAGAGGGTATCAGAACTCAAGGGACAAGGTTGAGCCCCTGACTCGGTCATGGCTGATATGCTCGCCTTGTGTGCCTGCTGCTTTGAGTTTCCCGGGACTTTTCCACTCATCCATCATCCACCATCCATCCGTCCATCCATCCATACACCCATCACCCATCCACCCACCCTCCATCACCCATCCATCAGCACCCACTTATCACCCATTCATCTATCCACCCATCCATTCATCATCCATCCACCCATCACCTGTCCATCTGTCCATCCATCCATCCATCCTTTCACTCCCTCACTCATCACGATGCATCTTCAACACATATCAGGCCCTGTGCTAGAAAGAGAAGACACAGTCCCTGCCATCAAGTCGATAAAATGCAGCAGGTGTCAATACCATGACAGAAGATGCGGCACACTGGGGACACAGAGCGAAAGTCTAGAAGGGGGGTCTGGAGGGTGCAGTGGGGAAGGTGTCCTGGGGGAGTTGTCACTCTCATCACGTCCCCACGGCTGTGGGTGTGCAGTAGGGAAACCTGAGCCTGGGGCCAGTCCCCATGGCAGGCGTGTCACAAGTTCTCTGTGAAGCCATTTTCCCACCGATGGTGGTGGGAACCCCACTTCACTGGGCCATTTTAAGGCTGGAGGGACAGACGCGGTTCCGGGAAGCCCTCACAGGCACTTGTCATGGACATTGTCTTCCCTGGCTCAGGGTGGAGGGGTGTCTAGTCCAGCTCTTCGGGGTCCTTGGTCACTGAAGTGTGTGTGGATGCACTCGCGTGCACATGCCGTCCCCCTGCCATTCACGCTCCAGCACTGTAGGCCGATGCATCCCGGGACCAGGAGGCCCAAGGGTGCAGGATGGCACCCCAGACGGGCCCTGGCCCAAATCCTGGATTAGCCCTTCCCACCTGAAAGCACTTCCGTGTCCATGGCCAGCATCTGCCGAGTGCCCCACAGTCATCTCGGGAAGGGGGCAGGGCAGGGGCTGCGAACCCTACTTTGCAGGTGAGAAGGCAGCGGGCAGACCACTGGAGAGCTTTAGATGTGGGGGCTCTGGTGTCCCCAGCCTACGGTGAACCCCGGCTCTGCCTCCGCCTCCCCCTGTGACCTGGAGCTTCACCTCTCTGCACTTCGATGCCCCATGTGAAGAGAGGGACGTGGACAGTACCACCTCAGAGCCGTGGCCGAATTAAATGAGCTCGAGTCTGAAAATGCTCAGGGAAGTGTGTGGCACGCTTGGTAGTTTGGGAATATTATTAATACGAATTCAGCTCTCCTGCCTCCTGAGCGTGCTCTTCCCGCCCCCACCCCCCGCCCGCCACTCCCCCACCCCGGGCCTTTCCAAGGATTGAAGACAGCAGCTGGTAGTGGGAGGTGGCTGCTTTAAATAGGAGATGAGAAGAACAAAAGGAAAATAGAACAGGGTGGCGATTGTGGCTAAACTTTCCCAATCCCCCTCCCAAACAGGGGGAGGGTCCGCGGGGCACACTCAGATGTTGCCTGCTTCTCTCCTGAAGGAGCTGAAAGCTGCTTCCCAGCTCAGTCACTCCTGCTTGGAGGGGGGCACTGGTTTGCGCTGGGACCCCACAACCCAAGGGGACACCCCCCTGCCTGCCTGTTCTCCAGAGAGGCAGGAAGTAGGTTAAGTGGGATCCTGGAGCTTCTCCGCCTCCCTTCTAAGACGACATTAAATATTCATCGGATTTCTCCTGAGGCCACACGGAGTGCTTCAAAGGCAGCCTGCCCCCTTGGTGGCATGCGGTGACAAGTCCTCCCTCTTCACCTTCTCCCACTAACTGCCCCAGTGTCTGCGGGGGGGGGGGGGGGGGGGGCAGTTTCCTTTGGCCAGCACTCCCCGCTCTCCCAGGCAGAGGGACGGAGCCCTGTACACCGGCCTCTGAGCAGGGCTGCCAGTGTCTTGCACCCCGGCTCTGGCGGGGTCTGGCCGCAAGGATGGAGGTGTGAGTGGGTGAGCCATTGCTCCTGCACACAGTGCGCAGGGACAGGCCGGCCGGGCTGCAGGCCTGCAGCCCCAACCCGCTAAGTCAATGCCCGGGGGCTGCTCGGTGTGAGCGGAGGGCCCGGCAGTGGCCCGGGGCCAGTGGCAGTACGCCGCCAGGGGCTGGACGGACCGAGGCACTGACAGACTGGGGTGACCCCAGCTGTCTGCCGGGTGGGGGGCGCACAGAAGGCCGGCGAATAGAGCCGGCACAGAGACGAGCAGGGCCAGGGGAGGCCCGCAGGCCGAGGCTCAGGTTTTGGCTAGTGGCTTCCCCACTGGACCCTGGGCAAGACAGCTCATCCTCCCAACCTCAGATTCCTCATCTGTAAACGGGGACAGTGACTACCACCTGGGAGGTCTGCTGAGGACACAGGACATCGTGGTCATGAGGGAGGGAGCCTGGTGACCGCCAAGTGGGACATACTCAACAGACGGCATTTTCTTCCTCCTCAACCCCAGCAAAGCCCTCACCTTCAGCCCGCTCCCTTCCCCTCTTGCCCTTTGGTCAACTCCAGTCCGACCGCCCCACTTCCCAGAGCATCTCAGCGGTGTCCTCGGGCCCCCATGTAGCTACATGCTGCTCCCTCAGCCGATGGCACCTTCCCCCGGCCTCCCCACCCCTGGAAAATGCCAGGGCCTAGCTCAATGCCACCTCCTCTGGAAGCTTCCCCACCCCGTGCCTGGGCAGTGAGTTGCTCCCTTTTCTGAACCCCATATTTCCGTGAACCCTGCCCCCTCTCTCCTCTTCGTGGATGACTTCAAAGCATCTGCTTTTCTCTTCTGGGTCTGTCCTCCTCAACAGACCTCAAGCCATTCAATGCCAAGGATGGTGCGTCCTTCATTATCTCCCTCTCCTCTTCAGCTCCTGTCCGCTGATGCTCGTTGAACCACTGGCCAGGAGTGGGGAGGGCCCTGTGAGGAAGGTCGGGATGACCATGCTGGCGGAGACACAGCTGCCGTGGTGCCCGGTCACCTGACCTGGCCCGACAGTGACTAGACCTTCTGTGGGAGCAGGAGTGGGGTGGCAAGCAGGGAGGGGGTCCTTTGCCTGGACCCAAGGAGCACCACTGTATCACAGGCCTGTGAGGGCCAGGCCCTTACTAGCCCCATCTCGCTGAGGCTCCACCCCATCCTGAGGGGCTGGGTGTCAGCTGGGAAGACACGTAACAGCACAGCCCGGGGGCGTCACCTGCTCCAGAGGCAGGCCCAGAGACTCCCAACGACCTCAGGAGGCTGGTGCTTCTTATCCCCATTCTGCAGACAAAGCAACCGGGGCACAGAGAGGTTAGGAAGAGCAGGGCCAGGCCTGAGCCACATCAGAGGACCTCAGAAGTCCACGCTCCCAGATGCCACCCCCACCACCTCGGCTGCAGGCTGAGCCAGCCTCCCTGATTGGCAGCCACGGGTGGCAGATTAAAGGAGAGAACAGACGCAAAGCAGGCGGTTAATAAACCATAGCTATTCCAGGCCTTGGCGACCCCTCTCCCGTCTCTCCTCTCTGTGCGCCCCCAGTCTCTCCAGCCTTGAGTCAGCCTTTGGGGAGACCTCGACTTCCAGTTCTTGTGCACCCCACTGCACTCAGGTCAGGACGCTGCAGGGCACCAACTCAGCAAGCACTTACGTCCACGAGGGACCCGACGGCATCAGTCTCCCTGCCCAGGCGCACTGGTCTTTGAGCACATCCGAGTGGCCTGAAGCCACACCATCCAGCACACCTGTTGACACATCTGGTTACAAGTGGACTCAGCCTTGGAAGGGTGCGGCTGGACCAGGCGCCGAGACTTCCCAGCCTGAGTGTCCTAGGTGGGCCATCTCAGGAAGGCCCCGTGGGCAGGGGGCACGTAGGCTGCAGGGAAGGGCAGACTGCCCCAGCTCTGCCCAGCATTTTAGGGTCTGAGACTTGGATTGAGGGGCCAGCCCCTGAGTGGAAGGGGCTTCACAGTCCCACAGTGTGCCCCCCTCATCCTCAACTCACTTCTGCCTCCTGAGTCTTTACTCCCACCGCCTCTTGGCCTGGGGCAGCCCCTCCCCCAGGGAAGCCCCCTCCCCGTTCAAGAGCTGCTTTCAGGCCTCAGCCATCAGAGGCCCCCCTCATTCCCCGGGCTGGGCATGGAGGCACCCCTTCCTCCTCCTGGAGGGCCCTGGCCTATCTTTGGTCACATCACTTTTTCTGTCCAGTTGAAACAACTGGGTTCAAATGTGCCTCTGCACCAGACCACACCAGACCGTGAGCGCATGAAGGGCAGGGTCTGTGGCTTTTCCATCTTTGTGTCCCTGCCCCTGGGGCCTGGCCCTCAACAGCTGTTGAATGAACACCTTCGAACTAAAACTCCATTTTGTGAGGCCGAAAGCACCTTTATGGCTATGGCAGCTCAGTCTGGCCACCGAGGGTGTCTCAATCGGTGTCCGCGTGGCCCCAGCAATGGCCTGCAGCCCCTACCCGGGATGCACTGGTGAGGGGGCAGGGCCCGGGCGAGTGGGGCTGTGCCTGGGCACAGGTGCCGGTAGCCTCGCCATTCAGCCAGAAGACTCCCTGGGCTCCCAGGTCCCACCACAACCTGAGGATCCTGAGCCCATCCCCCCCCCCCCCCCTCCCTGCCCAAAGCCTCAAGAGGTTGTAGATCGAGGTCCGTTTTTGGTCACTTTAATTGTAAAAACCAAGACATTTATATAAATAAGACCGCTGTGTAAAATAGGATTCACCCTTCTACTAAAACCTTTCTCCCCACGCTCAAAAAAGAATATAGAAAACCCAGCAGAGATAAGAAGTACAAATTAGCATGCGGTCCCTGATGAGCAGTGGCCGGCAGGCCAGGATTCCCTGCCGAAACAGGCCTCATGGTATGTGCACTCCTGGCCCAGGAGCCTCGCCGGAGGCTCAGTGACGCCCACCCCCCTCTGCCTGGGGTACCGAGTGCGCGGGGTGGAGGCGGTACAAAAGGTTCATGTGGCCAGAGGACCGGGGGGGGGGGGGGAAGGCTGCAGGGTCCTCACGCCAAAGCCGGGGACTAGGGAGCGATTGGCCCAATGAGATGCAGTGGTTTGTTCAGCCTGGGGTCCAACTGGGGAAGGGGCTTCCGGAGGGGGCCACCATTTCTCCAGAGGACAAGGGGAGACGCTGCCAGTGTCCCCTGAGAGGACAGGCTCCTCGTGGGGCCATCTGCCTACGGCCATTGAAGACCAGGAGAGTGGACCCCTGCCAGCAGTGCTGGGGGTGGTCGGGCAGGGGGCTCCGGGGAGGCAAGGGGACAGCAGGCTTGGGGCTGGCATGTCCTGGGGAGAAGACTCCCACCTCCCCGCCCTCCTACCCTGTCACATTTCCCACCCCTCCCCTGCATCGAGACCACAGCCTGCTCTCCCTTTCACACGCTGGGGGCCTGGGGGAAGACAGGTCCACTCGCTCACACACTGGCCGTGGCTCAGAGACTCGTAGGAAAGACCCCAGACTCTCCTCCGACACACCAGGACCTGCCTGGGGCTGCTCCCCATCCCCGAGGGGTGGCAGGAGGTGGCCCTGCAGGGCCGGGGGCCGGGGTGCGGACGGCGTCAGGAGCACTTCCAGACACACACAGCCAGGGTCCCCCCGAAGTACAGGTAGAGGAGGTTCTTCACCTCATGTGTGATCTCAAACCCAAAACCCTCGCCGATGACCACGTGCCAGGAGGAGCCGAACTTCTTATCCATTGTCTCCTTGATCATCTTGGCCGCGCTCTGGGAGGAAGAGGACGCTCGTCAGGTGCGGGGAGAGGGCGCACGGGTCAACCCCCCCTCTGGGAATCTCGGCAAGATAAAAGCCCGTCACCCTCCTGTTGTTCTGCTCCCGGAACCTTCAGGAAGGGTTTCCACACTGCCCCCCACCCCCATGCTGCCAGGGGGCTAGCACACAGGGACGGAAACAGACGTGACCCCAGCCGTCAAGAAGACACCGACGAGGGAGGGGAAGCAGACCCTGGTCCGCAGGCGGCCGCGGGTCCGAGCTCTGGCTCTGCCACTTAGCGCGTGTCTCTGGCGTCGGCAGCGCCAGGCGGTGCTCGGGCCTCAGCGATGCGCAGGGACGTGCCCCACAGCAGTCCACAGACTCTGTGAGGTTATCCTCCCTGCGAGCGCTCAGCTTCATCTTCAGGGGACAGAAAGGCTTTTCCTAATGGGTTTGGGGGGCTCCCGGAAGAGAAGCTGGACTGCTTCCCTCAGTTATGGCAACAGCCCCCATTCCTTCCTGTGCTGGCTCTTTCGAGAAGCTTCTTTTGAGAAGAAGCCTAGGGAGGGCCAAGGGACCCAGCCTTGGAGGGTGAGTCCCACACTCAGGTGCGTGCTGAGCACCACCAGCGGGCCAGGTGCTTGGCCTGCACCACCTCAGCACACACCTCCTCACGAGCGCCCATCGAGGACGCAGCATCTGACTCCCCACTACAGACTGGGACACCGGGGATCAGAGATGGGAAATGGCTTGTCCAAGGTTACAGAGCTAGGAAGGGCTGGAGACAGCATTTGAACTTGGGCCTCACTGGCCCAAAGCCCAGGCTCTCGTCGGCCAGGGTCTCCCCACTGGCTGCCACGTTAACTGACTTTCTCCCTCGTCACCAGACTGATGAACGATGTTCCTGCGTCAGTGCCTACTGGCCGCGGCCCCAGCACCTAGAACAGCGACTGGCACGAGAGGTGGCATTTCACATCTTTTCTGAACGGATGAATGGATACATGAATGAACGCCTGGCCGGGCCCTGTTCTCCCCTGGGATGGAGCCAAGGGGAAAGGTAGCCTATTGGGCAGGCCGCGGCAGCACGGAGGGCCCTCCAGGGCTGGACGCGACCAGCAGACCAGTGCCCGGAGACAGCACCAGCCCCTTCCGTTCCTGGCCTTCCTCGGGCTTCGAATGCTTCCAAGGAAGGCGTTAGCCATCCCAGTAGGACTCTCTGGAGCTGGATGTGGGGACGGGGGCCACCTGATTCACCCACGGGGGTCACCAAAGGCACAAGAGGCCGCCTGTACCAATGGCAATACCTCGTTGTTGTTGGAGAATTTCTCACAGGCCGTGACACATAGCTCCATGGTCTCCACTCGCATCTCCTCTGGCATGTCCGAGTGCTAGAGACAGGGCAGGGGGACAAACAGAGAGGCTTAGCCCATGATCTGGCCTTCTGGGCTGGCCTCTCTGTCCCAAGCTTAAGGCACAGACACTGGGGAGCTGCTCTGGCACAGCCCAGAGAGGTGACTCATCTCCGGACTCGGGGCATGGAATCCAGTGGAACCAAGCAGGCTCTCACACCCGGGCCCCCCCTGCAAGGGCACGAAGCTTCATTGGGATTGCGTTGCAGCCAGCAGCCTCGGGGAAGCAGGCTGGCCCGGGCAGGAGAGGATGCCGGTTACAGAAACAGTTTAGAAGCGGCCGTAGAACACAGCTGGATGTCACCGCAAAAGCCTGGAGAGACAGCTCGGCCACTCTCGATGGCTCCTGGCTTTTCCCGTCTCTGGCTGCTCTTTCTCGTCCACTTTGCTGGCACCACCCCCCCCAGCGCCCCCGACTGTGGGGCGGTCCTGGGCTTCATCTCTGCCCTCTGGCTTCTCCAGCAATCTCCTCTCCAGCAGATCCCAGCCCGTCCTGCGGATCTATCTTCTACACGGGGAGGGCTCCCACATTTTCATTCCCAGTTATAACCTCTTTGGGGGGCTCCAGACTCCTACATGCAACCGTTTACTTGACAAGCTCACTGAGACGTCCAAAAGATAACTCGACTTTCCCCACAAGCCTGCTCTTCCTCCATCTTCCTTCCATTTCCTCTCCTAAGTTCTGGAAAAAACCAACCCTGGGAGTTATCTTGATCATCGTGTGCCCTTGTACCTGGCACCCAAGGCACCAGTGAGTTCTACTGTCTTGACCTTCAAGATCTGTCCTGAGTGTGACCATGTCTGCCTCCATGCCATGACCTGGACCCAGCCGCCCCTTCATCTCTCTGGGCCCCTGAGGTAGCGTCCTCATTGGTCTCCCCACTTCCACTCTGGTCCCCTAAAATCCATTCTCCTTACAACAGCTGGAGTGAGCTTTTAGAAACATCAAATGGATCACATTACTCCTCTGTTTAAAACATCCACTGTTCGCCTTTGAACTCAGGACAGCACCCCTGTTTGTCATCAGGCCTGTCGGGCTGGCCGGCCCGCCTGTGAGGTCCGGCCGGCTGTCACTCTGGCCCTCACGGCCCGCCATCCATCTCCACACTCTGGTCTTCTGTTCCTCCAAAACTTGGAGCTCACTCCCACCTCGGATTTTCTGTGCTCGCCGTTTCCCCTGCTTCGAATGTTCTTCCCCAGACATCCACAAGGCTATCTCCCCAACTTCATTCTAGTCAGAGATCAGAGAACTCTTTCCAGAAGCTAACCTCTCCTCTCTAGCCCCATACACCTGCTTTATTTTTCTTTATAGCACTAATTACCTGAGTTATGTTCCTTAAGCCTCTCTTTCATGTGGCCCGGGCCTCTGTTGTTCCCTGCTACGTCCACAGTGCCTAGAACAGTGCCCAACACGTCGTAGGTGGCCTAAGAAGACGTGTCGAATGAATGAATGGATGATGGAATGAAGTGCTGTCGACTCCCAGCCCTCTAGATCTGAGCCCACAGAGCCCTTCACTTCCTCCTTCTGCTGTCCTGCAGGGAACGAGCTGCTGACAGCCCTGCCTCCCTCCCCTGTGGCTTACCCTGACCAGAGGGAAGGTCTGCAGTCGCTTATAATCAGCCTCCTCTTTCTTCCCTTCTGTTTCTCCCATGATCCTTCCACTGTGACCACTGGAGGGAGAGAGTGGGGCTTTCAGGAGGCGCGGGCACTGGCAGTGAAGACACCCCCGGGAGATTTCGGAAGCAGGCCCTGCCAACTGGGTGGTAGCAGAAAATGTCTTTCCTCAAGGGGTGCTGTAGAAAACAGGAAAAACCAGGAGAAAGAGTTGGCTTTAAACCCATATATCACAAATTAGAAATGTCTCACTGACAGTGTGACACCTCCCCGTCTTAACTCCTCCACATCCTTTTCCAAATGGCCAGCAAGTCTACAGACGGGAGGATGAGTCAACGTGAGCTGCTGGGACCGGTAAGAACACACTGGTATGCTGCTGTAAGCCCACACTGTCATTATCAAGACAAATACTGACTGCGGGCCAGGCCGAGGATGGAGCTTGAGCCGGCAATTAACAAACACAGCAACCCTGCAGGAACACTAATGTACGTGGTCCTTACTTCCCCGCACATGTGGCTAGAAAGTTAAATGTCAAGGTCAAGATTGATAATCCTGGGCTTAGGGACAAGCAAGTACCTCCTTCCACAGGTCCCTGATCTATGGAAGGAACGGGAGCAGCGATGCTCCGTGTCCTCCTGGGCATGACCGGCTCCCAGCTCAGGCCTCCCTGTCCCATCTGGCTGGTCCAGAAGGTGTAAGGCCTGGGCATTAGTGCTGGTTCTACTGTTCACCAGCAGCGTGGCGTTGGGCCTCAGATGCCTCATCAGTAACACGGGGGTAAGTCACATCTATCTCTTGGGGCTGTAAGAGATCAGATGAGACAATGTATGTAAAGCGGCTAACACAGGGCCTGGCACGTGGCCACATACATGAGAGAATGTGCGTGCATATGAACACAGAGGTATAAAGCCTAACACATAATGTTTGGATTTTTTTCTTTTCAAATCTAGTTATATAATAACAGATGGGACTTTTCCTAAAGAGATGAGCCTGGATCCTAAATGTCTGGGAGCATTGCTAGAAATCCTGGTGTTTCTCGTTATTCTACAATTCAATTTATCCTGTAATTCAAAGGACTTTTTCATCTCATAAGAAGTACCGATCTAGGGCACCTGGGTGGCTCAGTCCGTTAAGGATCTGCTTTCGGCCCAGGTCATGATCCCAGGGTCCTGGGATCGAGTCCCACATCAGGCTCCCTGTTCAGCGGGGAGTCTGCTTCTCCCTCTGCCCCTCCCCCCAGCTCCTGCTCAAGTGCTCTCTCTCTCTCTCTCTCAAAAATAAATAAAAAAAAAAAGAAGTGCTGATCTAAATGCATACAAGCCACTGTGCTATGAACCCTGTTTAACCATCCATGCTGGACAAATACAACCCAATAATGTTCCTCCAGCATGTCCCACAGTTGCAAATAGGTTTGTTTTCATGGCACAGCCACCAAAGCCGGAAGACGCCTAGCAGAGTAACTAACGGGCAGTGATGACAGTTGCTATCTGCTAGGTTTCCGGTCCCTAGGGCCCTGCTGCAGCAGCGACCCCACGGGGAGGCGTGAAGCTGTTACTTCGTCGGCCCGGGGCCTCAGCTGGTGAGCAGCAGGGCTGGTGTCCGGCGTGGGCCCTCCTCACAGCGCCAACCCACGGAGGCGCCCACGCAACCGGCCTCCAGCCAGCCGCTGCCAGTGAAGTACACGTCTGATGTCTGGCCTGTCGGTGACCACCATCCTAACGTGAACTCGACCCCTGTGTGGCCGAGTGCTGAGCTTTCTGCATTTTTTCTGGGCCGTGCCCTCCATTTTCTCCCTCTCTCTCTCTGATGCCTCAGAAGCCTTCCGCACCCCCCCATGTGGTGGGCTCCCTCGCACAAGGCTGGAGCCTGCCCCCGACTCCACCACCGGATTTCCGCACGGCTCCTCTTAGCTCATCAAGTCTGGGCATCTGGAGCACTCGGATATTAGCGATTTTTGTCTCTACGTGGAAGCTGGCAAACGACCAGGCGCCACCTCATTGTACTTTCTGCTCGTGTTTCTTATTTCACAAAATCCAGTGAATCCTTTGGTCTTTGCTCATTAATGTGAAGGCCCACCTCCAATTCCATCCTATCCTCCCAGCAAGGCCACTTGCTTGCCGCCCCCTCCACATTATCCAGGTGTGATGATCAAAGGCTAAGGGCTTTAAGGTTTGTTCACCTCCCGAGATTTTCAGCTGAAAATGCTGAACACTGGGTCCTCAGCAGCTGCTGGGGCCTCTTCCACCTAAGTATTTCAATTCGATCCAATTCCTCCTCGGGGCTCACAAGTGCTGGCCTGGAGTGGCCTGAAAGAGAATCCAGAGGCGAGCGGGTAACATGCCTGCCCTGGGGGAGGGCAGGGGCTGTGGCTGCTCAGAGTCTGTGGACCTGAGAATATGCAATCCTGATGAAACAGGACTCAAGAGGCCAGAGGTATTGCCAAAGTCCATCCTTCAGGAACAAGGGGGGAAGAGCCATGGGGACAGGTATTTTTTGGAGGGGGGCTGTGGAGACCCATGAGGCAGAGTATTTAGGCTTGAATGCCTGTTCTATAACCAAAGTGAATTCTACTTTCTCCCTTGCTTTGCAGCCTTGGGCAAGTAATTGCACCTGAGTCTTGGTTTCCTCCTCTGTGAAATGGGAGAAACCCATCTTCTCGTTCTTAGAGGTCCACCGCGAGCATCAACTGGAGGCCTGTGAGCATTTGGAAATGGCAAACCCTGCACACTGTGCTCACTGCGCTGCTCTAACTGCCGCCTGCCACCGGCCAGGGCTTCAACATTATCCAAGCACGCTGATTAAGGACCACAATTGTAAATGGCTCTTCCTAACCACTACCTGTACTTCTGGGGATTCAAAAGGGATGAGACTTAGAGAATAAAAAGGAACAGTTATAGATGATGTGCTTCCAAATATGGAAAGGCAGGAGACTCTTTTATGACGCTGTGTCCTTACAGAGTACAGCTGTAGTCATCGGCCGTGACTTAAAACCCGGCTGGAAGAACGCTACCAAAAATAGCGGACCCAGAGGTTTTAATAACCTTATCAATCTTCCATGCAAATGAGCGTGTGCCTGAGAGCTCCAGGCCAGAAAGAAGTCCCATCAGGCCTAAAAGAGAGCCCTTTAATAATGTAAGTGTGGCCACGGCCAGGGTCCTTGAATCTCTTGGGTACCAGTCCCAGGATGTCCTGGCGCACCAAGCTGGTGGCAGCCGCACCCTCTCTCCGCCCAAGGGCGCCTCCGCGAGCTTTACCCAGCCTCGCCCGTGTCTGTTGCAAGGCTTCTCCCAGGCAACAGGGGGCACAGACAGGGCTCTTCCTGTCATCGCCTTGGAACAGCCAGTGCCCCTGTCCTGCTATCTGGGCCTTGTTCTTCTGTGACACTGACCTCAGTCACAATGTATTGTTTTGCTTCTGAAGCATTTCGGAAGAATCCTGAAGAGGGCTAGAGGATGGGGGAGAAATGCAGGAATTCTGGGAAATAAGGCCCAAAGTGTCTGCCAGTCCTCTGGGGGTGCCCCCAGCCACTCAATGCCCAGAACCCTCCTGGCCTGTGGACCTCGGGGCGCCCCTGGTAACCACCCCAGGATCCGAGAGATGGGAGGACACACTCAGAGCAGGACGGGGTGGTGGTTGGGTGCAGGCTCCACAGGCAGGTCCAAATTCACATCTCAAGTCTCAGACAAGTGTTTCTCTCTCTAAGCCTTAGTTTTCTCATCTGGAAATTGGGATAAAGCATAGACTACTTCACAGTAAATGTCAGCTCTTGTTACTGGTGCACTCGGAGCGGGACCTGCAATGTCTTTCTTCATATGCCAGCTCGCTAAACATCTAAACATTCAGCCAAACAAACCAATACTTGCCACGTTGTCACTCTGCAAACCACAGTATTAGCATGGATGGGCGAAAGTCACAAGGAAATTCTGTAGAACAAGTTGAGGCCAGTGCTAATGGTGTGGGTACACTGGGTTTTCACCTTGTTTCATGTCACCCCATAACAACCCGTGGAGGCAGCATCCACTCCCAGTTCTCAGAGAGGTTTTGGAGCTCGCCCAAAGGTACACAGCCAGTAATGACAGAGCCAGGATCCAAACCCATACCTACTCTTCTAATTCTACCTTGTATGCCTTTTCCCCAGTCACAAGCAAGTAGGAGACAGACAGAAGTGCAAAGAGCTTCAATTCTCAGCATCTCCCAGTCCAGCCACCTGTCCAGGCACACCTCCTGCTTCCAGCCATAACCAGGATACACACTTGTGTACCCTGGTCATCCCCCCACCTTTCCCGGCCACGTCTACCCTCTGCCTTCTGGCAAACACAGAGCAAAGCTGGCAAGGGGAGGAGAGAGGAACCTAAGGGCCTGGGGCCATTCATCCAAGATGGTGGTGAGGTCAGGAAACATCATGGAAGATCTGGATTTTACAGATCAGCTTAGAAAGGGGGAAGCAAACGCAGGTCTGCGTTTTTAAATTATGCTAAGCAAGAGCATTAAGCACATTATCTACTATAAAGGAAGGTTTTAATAGAAGGAGATGGTTGCAGAATAAAAGACAGTCCTTGGAAAAGACTGTTACCTTTCACACACGCACGTATGCATGTGCGCACATGTGTGCATGCGGGCACGCGCGCACGCACACACACACACACACACAAAGTTGCTGCTGTTGGTATTGTTTTTAACATTGCCCTTCTTTTTTTCTCATTTTATTGAGGTCCAGTGAACACTTTTGCTGTGCCTTAGACTTAGCAGAGGGAGGGAAGACAAAGGAGGAAGAGAAAGAGATGGAGAGATGAAGAGATCAAGGCATTTTCTTTATGTGTAACCTGATAGAATAAACAATATTGACTCACGTGGTACCCCCTCACCAACATACCCAAATTCGGATGAAATACCAAACATTTTGTCAAGCTACAAAGTACAGCAAAAAGTCATAACCATCCCAGCTATTAGCTCTACACAAGAACAGATGCTTCCCACAGACAGGATTACGCAGTTTCCCACCCCCCCTTTCCCACTCAAGAGAACAGATTTGAACGTAAGGGACTAAGAATGACATTATTACAGAAATAAATTGGAGTTAGCACTGATTATGTTTTTTGTCATTCACAACTGCTAATTACTGGTGACATCTCATAACCAGTCACGACTTAGCAATCACCTGAGGCTGAAGAACTTAACTATTCTCCCTGTAGATGCCCCAGAGTGCAAAAACCAGTGTCTGGCACATGGCAGAAGCCCATCAGATATCTATATTGTGGTTAAATTATATTTCATTTGTCCCCCTGGGAAGGGAGAAGACCTATCAAATCCATTCAATATTTATTGAACACTGACCTTGAGCAAGGCAACAGGATGGGTGTCCTACATACAGGATCTTATTTACTGTCCACCCCCCCCAATAACTGTTAGACAGGTGCTATTATCCTTACTTTTCTGATGACCATGATGGCTGAGAAAAGGAAAGTGACATTCTACCCAGCTAACAAATGGAGGAGCTAGGATTCCCTCAGGCATATAGGACTTCAAGATTATGCTTTTTCTTTCTTTTTTTTTTTTAAAAGATTTTATTTGTTTATTTGACAGAGGGAGACACAGCGAGAGAGGGAACACAGGCAGGGGGAGTGGGAGAGGGAGAAGCAGGCTTCCTGCCAAGCAGGGAGCCCGATGTGGGGCTCAATGCCAGGACCTGGGATCATGACCTGAGCCGAAGGCAGATGCTTAACCGACTGAGCCACCCAGGTGCCCCAAGATTATGCCTTTTCAATGACTCCACTATAAGCAAGAGACAGTCTCTGCTTTCAAGGAGCTTACAATCTGAGAGACCAAGACACATACACAAGGAACTAACTATGGTTCATGGCAGAAAGCAGTACATGCCACAAGGCAGATGCAGAGACAGAGGGAGGAGGAGAATTCTGGAAAGGGCAGGGGAGAGGACAGCAAGGAAAGCTGGGTGGTAGGGGCAGAATTTGAGTGGGAATCCTGGCAAGTGGATTAGGTGAGGAAGACTTTCTGGACAGAGAGATGAACAAACACAGTGATATCCAAGCAGAAAGCTCAAAGCATTTTCTGGGAAAGTCCAATGGTCCAATTTGGCTAAAGGACAGAACCTGGCACAGAAGGGAAAATGAAGGCTGGGAAAAAATGCTGGCGTTGGGCTGTGGAAGTACAGAAGGGCTCTAAAACCTAGGCTTAATAAGTGTGGATATTTTTAGTGGGAAATGAGAAGCCCTTGAGAGGTCTCTTGGGGGTTGGTGACATTGCATTGTTTTCAGACAATTATGCTGGTGGGCTGGGTAAACAGAAAAGACTGGAGGTAGGGACACCAGTTAGGAAGCTAGAGCACTGGCTCAGGTGACAGGCATTAAAGACTTAAAGACTTGAGCCAAGATAGTAGCTTCAGGAATGGAGAGGATGTGAGGTCCTCGAGGAGGCAGAATCAAAGGAACTTGACAACTGCCTGAGTGCGAGGGGCATGGCAGAGCGAGGGAGGGTGGCCACGCCACTGAGAAAGGGCAAGTCAGGTAGAATGGATGGACAGGTAAAGACGTGGGCCAGTTTGATTTTAGAAATACTGAGTTTAAATGGCTGGTGAGACCAGGGTCCTGGGATCAAGCCCCGCATTCGCACCCCGCTCCGTGGGAAGCCTGCTTCTCCCTCTCCCACTCCCCCTGCTGTGTTCCCTCTCTTGCTGTGTCTCTCTCTGTCAAATAAATAAAAATCTTAAAAAAAAAATGGAGGTGTCTTGTCAGAAGTAGGTTATCACCAAATCAGGATCATTGGGCACAGATGGGAAGCTGTTGAGTCCAACCACCAATAGCAATAATAACTCACACTACCCTCACCCCCGCCCCAAAGCATCCCTAACCATGGAAGCCCAGGAGAAAGATCAGAGCAGGAGATCTGGATTTGAGGGTCACATGAAGAAATGACGGCTGACACTAAAGGTACTGGTGACACTTCTCAGAGGGGGAGAATGTGGGGAAGTAAGAGACAGAGGAAGTGAAGTAACAAATACTAAATCCACACTGAACTAGACTCTTCATACTTCAATTCCTATTATCCTCAGAATTCCCCCAAGGAGATGCCCTATTGTATCCTGATTTCATATACACTCAGACTGGAGCCCAGGGAGGTTAGATAACTTGCTAAGGTCCCGTAATTGAGAATCCAAATTAGGTTTGCCAAGTTCTTTTCACTACACCCGGTAACTCCCATGGGTACATCCTCAGGGAAGCCTATAGCTGGGTCAAAGAATCACATCCTAGAACGGCAGAGTCGAAGAGGCCTTAGAGATTATTCAACCCAACTTCAATTTACAGATGGGGAAACTGAGGCCCGAAGAAGGAAGTGACCAGCCTGGAATCCTAGCACGTCACCAACTAACTGTCCAAGTCAAGCGGTCTGGGCCAAGGCGATGGCGACCACCCGTCCAGCCGCGGGAGTGGGGAATTACTCCGCGAAACGTTGCGGGGGTGGTAATCAAGGTCCTGGGGGTAGTCGGGTCGAGGAGGATGGTGGACCGCGCAGCGGGACGGGTGTGTGGGGGAAGGAGCACCCCGCAGAGTCGCCACCGCTAATCTGTCACGGCCGAGTTCGCAGGTCCCCGAAGTGTGGGGGTTGGGAGGACCTGGGGCTGGGGACCAGCAGGCAGGAGACGAGGTGGGGCCTCCGCGTTGGGCGAGGCCCCACCCGCCCTGTGACGCCTCTCGGCCCCGCTTCGGGCCGGCCCTCCCCGCCCGGCTGCCCGCCGCACCCCGGGGCCTCACCTGCTCCCGCGGGGGCCGGAGCCGGGGCCGCAGCTAGCGCACCCCCGCCAGGGTTGTCAAGGAGCGAAACAAGAGTGTCTTAGCAACAACAAGGAAGTCCTGCCCCCTCACCGGACGTTAACGGGGATTTCACTTTTTATTGGTGAATAAAAGTGTCAATCAATGTTAAAGGCCCCTACAACGTAAGGCTTGTACGGAAAGGGGCGTGGCTAGAGGTTAGGGAGGCGGAGCTTCAGTTATAGTCGTCTTCAGTGGGCCTGAGGAGCCCGGGAGGTAGGAAGTTCGCATTTTAGAGAAATAAACTTTGAAGGGCGGTATTACCTTGGGCGCTTCTTTTAGCCATTTGAAATTACAAATGCAATTTGTTGGTGTCCTGCTACTGAGATACTACTTCATTAGGATCTCAGAAGCCTAATAACAACTAGCATTACAAAAACTAGGCTTTGCAAGGAGTATTTCACTAGATTCTCACAATTTTTTTAGGTAGTGGTATTCGTAACCATTCGTAACCATTCGTAACCATCTGCACTAAGGTTCAGAGAGGTTAAGAAACGTGTTAAAGGAAAGAATCAAAGTAAAACTCCCTGAGGTGGAACCAGGTGCTCTTTCCACTGTAGCACACCCTCATATGACTTCCGAGTCCATAGGAGATGTTGTACCATCTAATTTAAAGACACAGTTGTCCAGAGCCCGCCTTTTCTTACATTTAGGAGGGAAAATTAATCCGAAAGTATTAGTACAGCTAGGGAAAAGGGAAAGGGGGGGAGAGAGAAGAACCTGCAGATTCAATTACTTGATTGGTGTGTCAGAGGGTCAGTGGGTTGACTTCATAATTTCAACATTTACTTTATCATGATGGGTACTTCGGGTGAAACCCCACTTCACATTCACTGGCACTTACTGGGAACTCAGCCCTGGCCAGATGCTGGTCATTCAGAGAAGAGTAAGATGACCTTGGTTCCAGAGAAGACACAGTCCAGTGAGGGTACAGCTGTGTCAACAAATAGATAAGAAGACTTTCTTCTACCTGTACTCTGGTGCAGGTGTGGGCAAGGTGCTGGTTCTTTCCAAGGAGGGAGTAACTAACTCTCAGAGGTGGTGGTATTTGCGTTTGCTGTGTCTAAGACGACTAGTAGGCTAATGAGGGTGGGAGAGCACAGTTAACTGGGGAACTGCCAGTGACTCCATGAAGCCTGGGTTGAAGGTGAATGTGATACAGTGGGAGGCCACAGTGAAGAGGGTGGGGGTGAAGATGCAGAGGGAAGGTGGGATCACCAGAGTCAGAAGGGTTTTGAATGCCAAGGTCAGGGACTTGGGTATTTCCTGGGAGTGTTCCCTGGTATTCTCTTGGGTGAGAGTGGGGAAAGTAGCTGTTGGACAGTTTCAAGTAGGGCAGAAAGATAGTCAGATCTGAGTCATGGAAAGATCACTTGGGCGGTGAATATGGTGGAATGCACTTGGAGTGGGTAGACAGAAGGAGGGCACAGTGGGTTTGGTTTTGCGATTTGGCAGCTTGAGGTGTGCTCGGCCCTTGCCGATTCCCAAATTGCCTTCCTGGTGCGTTCTGAAGGTCCATGGAATGTCTGACTCAGCCTCCAGATTTCCCCAATCCTCTTTGCCAAGTTTCTCCAGGAGATGGAAGTTGGCCTTTGAGGGGGATGAAGCTCTCGCCTCCGCCTCTCATCCAAACTTCTAAAAGGGGTCTACGTTTGCTGTCTTCTATTTCTCACCTCCTATTCAGTCTTCAGCCCACTGCAATCTGGCTTCCACACCCACGCTGCCACCACCGAAATTACCTCTTTCATGGTTACCGGTGACCTCCTGAAGAGCAGAATCCAACAGATCTTTATCTTGCTGGATCCATCACTTCTGCTGGTGTAAGCCTGTCAACCACACCTGTCTTCGTGAAATTCTCTACTCCAGAAATAGTGCCTGCAGAACTCTTTACAATGCGGCTTCTAGGGCCCCATGGCATCAGAATAGAGAAGGGCAGGAATCTGTATTTGTCACAAGTGCCCCTGGTGCACAGTCACAGTTGAGAGTCACTGCTCTATCATCCAGGGCACCTCATTCTCCTGGATCTCCTCAAACCTCTCTTCCTTTCTGGCTCCTTTTTTCCTTTGCTCTCTGTGCCCACCTTGACTATATTTCCTTCTTACCAAGGGTCTCAAATTTCTTCCTACCCTAGATCACATCCTCATCAGCAAGAGTTTCCCTTGGTCACACTTCCTAGGGTATTTATTGAAATTGAAGGTTGGTGCCTTGGGAAAGCCCCTCTGGTGATTCCAAACCCTCCTAAGGAGTTATGCCATCCCATGCATATCTTGTTGAGAATTGCTGCCTTACGTCTTGTCCTTTGGGGATCTCATCTACTCCCATGGTTCCATTGTCAATGTCCTAGATTCTGATGGCTCTTGTGTTTTTCTCTCCAGATTAGGCTTCTCACTGGACCTCCAGACCTAAATATCCAATTGCTCCTGACCATCTCCACCAGAATGTCCCACAAGCCCTTCAATGTCAATGTGTCCCAAACTGAATTGATCATCTCCCTCCAACTTGCTCTCCCTGTATCCCCCATCTCAATAAATGGCACCACCAAGTTGCTTCCATCAGAAACCAGAGAACTGTGTCCTTCATACTTATTGCCCCGTCATCGCCCACCTCAAGTCAACCAAAAGCCTCCTGATTCTGATTCTTATGTCCTGATTACAGACCTCTGTGCTCCCATCTCCTCTGGTGCCTACTCCTGTCATTGCTCTTCTCCATTATCCCTTCTGGCTATCTTCATGGCACTCCCCATGTGTACAACACTATGATCCAATCTGTATTCTTGCAACAGCTTTCTAAAAGGACTCCCTGACTGCAGTCTTGCCCTTCTCCAATCCATTCTCCATGTCACAGTCAATGTGATGTGTCTAAAACCCAAATTTCACCACTGCATTCCTCTCTTTAACAACTCCTTGCCTTTCTCCACAGTTCCCCATAACCTGCCAGGTGACATCCAGATGCCATGATCTGCCATTTGAGGCTTTCCCATGCACCTCCATCTCTTCTTGCTGCTCCTTCCCCTGTGCTCTGCACCCCAGCTACACCAGCTCTCATGGCTCTCCACACCCTCCAAGCTGCTTCTCACCTTGCCTTTGCTCACACACCCTCTTGGCCGCATTCTCTCTCTGGACTTCCTCCTTTTGGCTATATGAGCCCATACACGTTTGGTCTAAGTTGTACACACTGGGATTCCATCACTGGCAACCAAAAGAGACCTCTGTGCTGCCATCTCCTCTGGTGCCTACTCCTGTCATTGCTCTTCTCCATGGTTTAATTCTCTGTCTTCCCCTGTGAGCTCCTGGAGAGCAAGAACCTTGTCCTAGTCATCTCTACAGCTCTATGTCACACACAGGATCTAGCAGAGAGTAGGTGCTTAGTAAATGTTTCATGAATGAATGAAGTGGATAGGATCTCACCTTACTTCTTTAGACTTAGCTCCTGTCAATCCTCAAGATTCAGCCAATATTCCAGCTGCACCCTTTCATGTTCTGCTCCTGCTCCTGCCATTTAATATGGCTGATGGGGACACCCTGGAATCAGTTAGCAATTGGATCAGCTGCAAGTAACAAAGATTGGAAAAATAATGACTTTAAACAACATAAATTTATTATCTTTTTTTAAAAAGTAGGCTCCACGCCCAGTGTGGAGCCCAATGCGGGGTGTGAGCTCGCAACCCTGAGATCAAGACCTGAGCAGAGATCAAGAGTTGGACGCTTAACTGACTGAGCCACCCAGACGCCCCATAAATTTACCTTATAGTTCTGGAGTCAGAAATCTGACATGATGGGTCTCACCAGGCTAAAAGCAAAGTGTTCCCAGGGCTGCATTCTTCCTGAGGCTATAGGTGAGACTGTTTCTTTCCCTTTTCCAACTTCTAGAGACTTTCTGTGTTCCTCTGACCCTGGCTCTTCAATCTCCCTTTCACATCTAAGGAATCTTGTGATTACACTGGGTCCATCCAGATAATCCAGGTTAATCTCCTTATCTCCTGGTCATATGATTAGCAGCCTTAATTCCATCTGCAATCTTATTTCTCTTTGCCATGTGATATAACATATTTACAGGTTCTGGGGATCAGGATATAGACATATTTGGGGGACCATTATTCTACCTCCTGTGGTCAGTTTGGGTAAATTTTCCCCCATGTAATTGAAAAGAATATCTATTCTGTAGTTGCTCTGTTAGGTCAAGTTTGTTAATCATTTTGTACAAATTTTCTATACTCATACTGAACTTTTTGTCTGCTAGCTTTATAAATTATTGAGAGAAGTGTGTTAAAATATCCCACTACAATTGTGGATTTGTCAAATTCATCTTTCAGCTCTGTCAATCTTTACTTTATATATTATGAAGCTGTGTTAATACATATTTTTCTATCTTTTAAATTTCAACCTGTCATATAACCAGTTTGACAAGATTAATATTTTCATTGGCATATTTCCCTTTTAATATTTAATGTAATAACCCACTTACATTACATTTAGGTTTAAAGCAATGAACACACTATTCATTTTCTATTTATTCTATCCTTTTCGTGTTCCTTTTTTCTTTCCTTGTTAAGCCTTCTTTTGAATTGTTTTTATTATTCTATTTTTTCTTCTATTGAACTTGTTAGTTACGCAATCTTTTACAATCCTTTCAGCAGTTACCCCAGGAAAATAAAATGTTGACCCTAGATGTATTAAAGTCTAATATAAAATGAATACTTTTATTTCTTTTAATTTTATTTTTTAAAGATTTTATTTATTTATTTGACAGAGAGAGACATAGCAAGAGAGGGAACATAAGCAGGGGGAGTGGGAAAGGGAGAAGCAGGCTTCCCGCTGAGTAGACAGCCCGATGCGGGGGCTCGATCCCAGGACCCTGGGATCATGACCTGAGCTGAAGGCAGACGCTTAACGACTGAGCCACCCAGCCGCCCCTAAAATGAATACTTTTAGTACGTCCAGGACAATGCAAGGAAATTAGAACACTTTAACTGCATTTACCTCTTCCCACCTTTTATTCTGTTGTTATCATGAATTTTAAACCTCACAGGAGATAAC